GGATTCACTGAGTAAAGCCAGGCACAAAGTAGGTGCCCAGTAAATGTTAGCCATTGTTACTGTCATCATTCACAAAAGATCAGAGAACTTGGCAGGACCCGAACACTTGAGATTTTAACTAATATGAAACAAAAACAAAAATGAAACCCCTAAGCCGGGCACGGTGGCACATGCCTGTAATCCCAGCAGCTCAGGAGGCCGAGGCAGGAGGATTGTGAGTTCAAAGCCAGCCTCAGCAAAAGCGAGGCACTAAGCAACTCAGTGAGCCCCTGTCTCTAAATAAAATACGACCTAGGGCTGGGGGTGTGGCTCAGTGGCTTGGTGCCCCTGAGCTGAATCCCTGGTACCCTCACTTCCCAAAAAAGACCCCTGATTGCACTGTGGCTCCTTGTAGTACCCCTGGCCAGCGGAATATAACCTTATCTCACTGTTCTTCACGACCCTAGGAGTAGGTACTGTTAAACCCATTTTACGGATAGAAAGACTGAGTGAGTTATGTTAAATGTTGTCAGTGGCAGGTGGCAGAACTGAGTACTCCACTCCCTGTTGTATGACTGCAAGTTTTACATGGTTTTAACAATCAACTTTTATACTTCCACCAGATGGTAAGGACTCGAGCCGGTTGAGAGGGGTCTCATGTGCTTCAGGTTTTCAAAAGGAGGTGTCCACGTCCTGATTTTATTGTAAGAATTGAAGACCACACCAATTTTGGTGGCTATGATCAACACTGCCGCAGGACAACAGGAAGTCTAAAGCCAACCATAGCAACCTAGTGAGACCCTCTCTCAAAATACAAAATAAAAAGGACTGGGGATGTGGCTCAGCGGTAAAGCACCCCTAGGTTCAATCTCCAGTACCAAAAAAAAAGGCTATTGTCAAAAGACAAAAAATGATAAATAAACCAATAAAGCCAACAAATACTTATCATCACAGTGAAATTATTCAAAGACCTTTGTTTTAGCTTTTTGAAATGTACAGTATATTTTCATTGTCTGTAGTCACCCCACTGCAGGACATCTCACTCCTGTTACTTAGTATCCTTGGATCAGCTTCTCTCTGGCCTTCCCTCTCTTCCATCTCTTCAGCCTCTAATAACTACCATTTTGTTCTTGGCATCTATGAGATCAAACTTTTCTGATTCCACATGTGAGTGAGATCATGTGGTGCTTGTCTTTCTGTGCCAGCTAATGTCACCTAATGATCTCCAGCTCTATCCATGCTGTCATGAATGACAGGATTTGATTCTTTTCTTGGCTGAATAATATTCCGCACGTACCACGTTCTCTGTGTCCATTCACCAGTTGATGGACACCTAGCTTGATGCCATTTCTTGGCTGTGAATGTTGCTGTAATAAACAGGGGAGTGCAGAAGTCTCTTCTACACACTGATTTCATTTCCTTTGAATATATACCCAGTAGTGGGATTGCTGAATCATATGATAGTCCTATTTTTAGTTTTCAAAGTGACCT